AAAAAAAAAAAAAAAAAACTCCTGAAATAATATCTTTGATAAAACTGTTATACTCTAGGATAATTTGAAATTATTTTTATGAAATAATTAAATTTGTTAAGGCTATTAGATTCAATAAAAGACTTTCCTTTTACATAAAACGATCTTAAATTACATCCTCAAAAATAATTTCTCACAATTTTCTTGATGATAAATGGTTCCTGGCTATATATATTTTTAAATACTTTAGTATTCCTAGCTATCTATTTGCCTTCTCCTACACCGAGTTCTTTTTCGCCACTTTAAACTGGTCACACAATCCCGTCTGTTGAATAGTTTATAATTTGAAAATGTTCAATTTCATGGTTAAAAAAAAAATCCTGCAAACAGAATAGAACGGTGTGTCAATTCCAGATGCCCAAATAAAATACAAAATCAAGAAAACCACACATTGCAGCATTATCGTGAGTTTAAGCTGTTTAGTATACAACATCAGTTTCTGAGTTCAATTCTCCAAAACCCTTTCCTTTAAAGTAATAATTAACTTTATTTCATCTTTATTAATGTCTTAATTACAGTTAGCTCTCTCCTCATAACAATACAGTTTAATTTAATGTTTGTGGAGTCCTGATTTATTTTTTCCTTTGTTTTTAAGTGTGCTAATCTTTGTGCATGTGTATTTTCTACCACATTGCAACAAGCAAGCTTTGGTTCAACTTTCTTGTCCTACACAAAGAAAGATTTTGAGTGCAGAATCTTAGCCACTAGGTCTTGCGTTGTCATTTTATTTTCCTCTCCTTTGGGTGGATTTACTGGAAGGAAATGGGTAAATGGGAGGGAAGAGAAGGGGAAGGGATGAGAGAGGGAAGAAGGGAAGAGTTCTCAGCTATGTTGAATCTTGATTCACGACTTTGCCTCCATTCATGGTTGGTGTTCCAGAACTTTTCCTTGAACGCCCTTGTTTTTCTCCAATTTCATGTAATGATGGTTCTCTGTACATACACACTGAAAGGCAAAATCAGAAAAATTATTTATGATAGCGGACATAAATTTGATTCAATAAGCTTTGCAAATTTGCTTTTACAGTATTCTTCACTCTCATCACGAGCTCTTCTCCCCATTATAAAAGAGTTTTAACTTGATAATAATATATTTAGTGGATACACATAATTCTCTTCCAGTTCTTTCAGCCACAGCCTTTTAAACTTTTCTTGAACTATAGACATGTGAGTTGCTTCTGTTCTCTTATAGATAAAGCTTGAATCTTTATAGCTCACTAACCTAGAAAACAGGATTTTCATCCAGAGTCAGAGGAGACATGGGAAGTATTTTGCTTTTTGCTCCTTAATCTGAAATCTAATTTGGGTAGGGAAAAAATATTCATTTTCATGTTTCTATTCTTTACCCTACCATAGGAAATATGATGTTGTGTCAAACTGAACTATTTATTGCCAATTTCCAGGGTATCCTATGTAAAAATAAGGGAGGACAAAGGAAAGGAAAAAAGATGAAACAATTTCCCCAATTGTCCTAGATTTCCTTCGCCTAAAGTAAGAAACACAGTTCATGACGTTTATTTATCAACAGAGCATGTGATTATGCAACCGTGAGACTTCAGTTCACATCTGTACATTTCCCTTTCTGCTCTATTGTTTAGTCTGGCTGTAAAGTTCAGTCATCTGTGAGCCATTATGACTATTCCTAGATAATTGTTTAGAAAGAACAATTTTTTTTTCAAATTATAGTTATTCTTACAAAACACAATCTATCAGCTTATTGAACACATTAATCCAGCTTCATTATACTGTTGTGAAATAGACAAATGTGACTAGAGTATATGATATGTCTCATGTAAATATCAGGAGTTAACTTTTATCCTTGGCATAGGAACACACAGTTAGGTATCTCCACCTATTGAATCATCATTACAAAGATTTAATAATTTGAATGTTACTTCCAACATCAGATAGCTTCCTCCCTTGAACTTTGAGTGGTTATCAATTTGGGAACCATGCTACCTGGATCTACACCTTGACTCAGCCGCCTACTAACCTTGTTAATTTGGATACATTTTCATAAATGAAAAATAGCATGTTTATGAAGATTAAATGCCTTACATGTGGGAAGTACCAAAAACGTTTATGAAAATTAAGAAGCTGATTTCTTTGTGAGCATTTTGAATAACAGATTTTCAGAGAATATACAAATAAATTATTTTGACTGAAAGTATTCTAAATCCAAGACTAGACTAAAAGAGAATTTAGAATACAAGTGAGAGTCTCCTAAGACAGGTTCACTGATGAGGAGACAGATTTCTTCCAACATACTCAATTACAGAACTTCTTAAATGTTACTTTACATTTGAATCGCCTAGGAATATTGTTACAATGAAGATTATGAATCAGAAGGACTCTAGTGAGCTTGAGATTCTGTATTTTAAATAAGATCTCAGGTGATACTCATGCTGATAAAATCCAGACCACATTTTTAGTAGTACAAAATATATGTATAAAATATGTATGTTAAGGCCCTTATGCAAATTAGCCACATATATTTTAATGAGATTTAAAAATATTTCAATTACCGCACTGAATGGCTCTTCCAACATCCCCAAAGGACTAAATGCTTTTGGCTGAAGTAACAGAGTATACAGAGGAAACCAGCTCAGAGAGTGGATCACATAATGTCCAAATGACACAAGTAAGCCATTCAAGTTTGTGTGTCTTTTTTTTTTTTTTTTTCCAACAAATAGAATATCCTTATGGAAAATCTTGCTGGAATCTTGAAGTTCCCTAAGTCTAATGGCTCTTACCTCTCTTTCTGTTATTAAAAAAAGTATCAAAACTCCAAAATTGAAGCATAGTTTTTTATTTGTGTAAAATATAACCATTTACATATGTACAGGGGAACTCAAGAAATAATGAAGTGATTCAGTTGGAAAGCTAATCATATGATGCCATAAAATAGTTCTTCCCAACTCTGTCACCTATTAAGCTTTGAAAAATCATACATTTGCAGGCTTCACCACAAATAGCTAAATCAGAATCTCAGTGATTTTACAAAAATCTCCTTTTTAAAAAAAATATTTTGACCTGCAAATTCCTAAGCTTCATCTGGAAACACGTGAGGAATAAATTTTCTAATTTTCATTAAAGTATATATTTTTATCATTTTTTAAAGCTGAGTTTCTTAGAGTTGCAATTTCCTTTTTAGTTTTGTTATGCTACAGATTTTACCCAAAACATTCATTTGGACTTTTATTTTTTTCTATTTCTCACTTGCAGGTAAAATACTTCATTTGTGTCATCACACAATGTTACTAGTAATAGTACTGCTGCAGATAACTTTTACAGTAATTTTACCCTGCTGGCCATCTTGATATTGAGAGGTATTGCAAATTGACATCTGAAAATATACAGTGTTTCAAAAAGACCAAAATTCACCAGTGCTACAGCAAAATGTAAAATTTGCTCTTTTTCTCATACAACTCAATTTCTGAATTCCCAATCTTTCCATTAAATGGAGTAATAAAATTCACGGTTTTGAAAAACTAGTTCATGTCCCAGTTAGAAAATGACAAGTACTAGGTAGGTTTTCCAGTTCACTGATAAAAACTGCTCTCCTCCTCAATCAATCAAATAGGTATTCGAATTTCTATACTTCTGCTAACCAAAATAAAAGGATGTTAAAAAAATAAAGTTATTCTAGAAATTGCATGCAAATACAAATATAGATAGCAAAACCTTGGTCAAACCAACAGATTAAATTGAATTTCCTGAGCTTTAATTTTCATTGTTATTGACAGTACCTTGGATTCAGTAACAGATCTAATTTAAGAAGCTGACAAATTAAGGGGTATAAGTCTCAATCAAATTTCTGAATTACAAGACCATAATCCAATTAGAAAGCAAAGAAGTAATAAAGTACCTCCCTTCAGTAATATAAATACCTTAATACCATCCATAGTTGCATTAACACTTAATGACTGCTATTCTGAGTGTACATTATAACAAAACAAATTTGAGGGAAAAAAACAAGGCGTAAGTATTCTCTAAAGTGCATTATATGTGCAAAATGTAAACAAAAATCACCATGATGTATACAGCAGCCTCAACGATAATTCCTTGAATAAATCTATCATTTCAGAGTATTCAAAGCAATTTTAAATTGATTAATTTGGCAATTACAGTAATAGGTGAATATAGAAGGTGAGAAATTATCACCCCAATTTTTTAAATATGAAAGAAATTAAGCCACTTCCATAAAGTCAGATGGTGAGTGGTGGCAGGGCCAGGATGAATATGTAGGGTTTCAAGGTCCTAGTTAAGTGTTTTGAATAAAATCAGAAATACCGTAATTTATCCAATAAACACCGTAAAATGACTGACATATCAGTGTTTGAATTCCTATATCCGTATGTTAATCAATATTTAAGTTGACCTTACCTTCATTAAATATTCCTAAAGTCATTCAGGAATGGTAACAAAAGAAAATGCATGGTTATTTAAAAAAAATACCCCAAAATAAAAAAGAAAGTAACAAGTGTTGTTGAGTATGTGGAGGAATTGAAACTCTTATGCACTGCTATTTCAAATGTAAAATGGTGCAGCCACTGTGGAAAATGAAATGGTGACTCCTCAAAAAAAAAAATATGGATGTATCATATGATCCAGCAATTCTGCCTGTAGGTGTACACTCAAAAGAAATGAAAGTAGGGACTATAGCATCTATCTGTACATCCATGCCCATAGAGGGATTATTACCATAGCCCAAAGATGGAGGCACCAAAACGTCCGCTGACAAATGAATGGGTAAATATAAGGTGGTATATACATAGAGTGAAATAGTATTCCACCTTAAAAACAAACTTCTGACACGGTTCAACATGAATGAGCCTTGTGGAAATTGTGCTAAGTGAAATAAGCCAGTTACAAGGGGCCAAATATTGCATGACTCCACTTATGTGAGATACTTAGAGTAGTCAAGTTTGCAGAGGCAGAAAATAGAACCGTATTTCCCAGGGGCTGTGGGAAGAATGGGGATTTCATTTTTAATCGGTACAGAGCTTCCGTTGGGGAAGATGAAAAAGTTGTGGAGATGGATGATGGTGATGTTTGCACAACAATGTGAATGTACTTAACAGCAATGAAATGTATACTGAAAAATGATTAAAATGGTAAATTTTGTATTATCATATTTTACCACAAATAAAAAGCAAGCAAGCAAACAAACAGCTTGTCCTGAATTGTCCTGAGTATAAGGTATATGAAGTGACTCTTTGAAACAAACCCTCTAATTTAGGCAATGTGGGATGTTACTAGTTAACTATGTCTCACTCAGGGCCTTGGGGCTACACTTGTGATACAGATTTTAATTTCAGCAAGTGTGATGTTATAGATAGTATTTAATAAAAACATGATTTTAAACTTTGTTTTTTTCTGATTGCGCTTGATACTATTTTTCCAACATGGTTTCACAGTACCCAAATTTCAAGGATGTTCAGTGTCCTAAAGATGCAAGTCCTGCATGACAAACAATGTTATTTCCCTTTCATCTGGCTTTCCTGGGTTGTCCTTGATCAAGCTGCTTGACCTCTTTCTATTCGTTTGTCAAGTACATAAAGTAGGAAAAATATACATTTGCTTCCCCCACCCCAAGATATTTCTGAAATAAAATATCATTGTTCCTCTAACCTGCATATCATCATGTTTTGGACAAATGGTAAAATAATATTTTGAAAAGAAAGCGTTTCTGTTTGGTTCTTCAGTACACTTTCTTCCAATCAAAGCATACTCTTATTTCAGTTATTTTCTTCTTATTTTTCCTCTATTTTAATTTACATTTCAATTTTCCTCCTCTTTAATGTTTCTATTCATGCTTTTGACTTTTTTAGAGCTATTGTAGATTGAAACAGAGGGATTCAACCCAGCTTTCTGAGTGAAAATAAGGTAGAGATTTGGTGTGAGAGTGTTCCTCCTTATTTTTAGACACGAGAACAAGCAAGT